GCCCCCCGCCCCCGCCCCCACCAGGAGAGTAAGTCACCTGGGTCCAGCGGGCGGGGTCTGTGGGGGCGTAGGGAGGCTGGGGCAGCTAATGCTGAAGGGAGCGAACTGTCACCGAGAAAGCTGAAGACCCGGCCAACTGCAAACACACACCTCACTCCTCACACTCACTGCAAATCTCACAGACCTGCGTGTTACAGTGCGCACACCCCAGCCCCGCACGCAAAAGCACACATGACGAACGGGCACAGACTCACGAAATGGACCCCACGCACACGTGCCTGTCCTTTTTCCAAATCGATCCCCACGTGGGATCAGGAATCAAACAAACACTCTCAAATAACCACAAGACGGGCCTTTATAGCTTGCAGAATGCAGCACGATCCTATGGCCTGGACAAGGCCACACTGAAGAAACAGGCCTAAGACAAAGGGGGACCACTCAGCTGGGAACCAGGCTGCCACTGGAAAACCCAAGTATCCTGGCATCTGTGGACGGAGCACTCCATTCGCATGGGCGACAGACATCTTGACAACCAACACATGCCCAGGGACGCGACAGGAGGCCCGAGTCGCAGACAACCCAGCTAAGCCAGGCACAGACCTGCACAACCGCCTGGACCCGCCGCTGGCTCAGGCCTCAGCCCCACACACCGGCCACGCCCACACACAGGCCCCACCCACAAGCAGGCACCTCCCACCGACATTCAGGCCACGCCCCCAAACTGGCCACACCCACAACCAGTTTCTTCTGAAAGAGGTAGCAATGCTTGCTGCTCACTCTGTGCCAGCCAGCGCCCACCCTACCGACACATTGGACACACACACACACACACACACACCCCCCCGCTCCCCACACACCAGTCCCATCCCTCATGGGACACACACACACACACACACACCCCCCCGCTCCCCACACACCAGTCCCATCCCTCATGGGACACACACACACACACACACACCCCCCCGCTCCCCACACACCAGTCCCATCCCTCATGGGACACACACACACACACACACACCCCCCCGCTCCCCACACACCAGTCCCATCCCTCATGGGACACACACACACACACACACACCCCCCCGCTCCCCACACACCAGTCCCATCCCTCATGGGACACACACACACACACACACACCCCCCCGCTCCCCACACACCAGTCCCATCCCTCATGGGACACACACACACACACACACACCCCCCCGCTCCCCACACACCAGTCCCATCCCTCATGGGACACACACACACACACACACACCCCCCCGCTCCCCACACACCAGTCCCATCCCTCATGGGACACACACACACACACACACACCCCCCCGCTCCCCACACACCAGTCCCATCCCTCATGGGACACACACACACACACACACACCCCCCCGCTCCCCACACACCAGTCCCATCCCTCATGGGACACACACACACACACACACACCCCCCCGCTCCCCACACACCAGTCCCATCCCTCATGGGACACACACACACACACACACACCCCCCCGCTCCCCACACACCAGTCCCATCCCTCATGGGACACACACACACACACACACACCCGCTCCCCACACACAGTCCCATCCCACACAACAGACCCCGCCCCGGAAGTACAGGAGCAGCACTTGCTTTCACTGACTGAGGGCAGGGCTTGGGGCCCGCAGCATGGCAGCAGCTGGAGGAACCGCTGCTTCAGCGCTTTTTTAGTAGGCCCTGGAGGGTGGCCTGGGAAGAGAGAAGACCCCAGGAAGGCACATTAACCCCCACTGCCCCTCTGTTCCCTTCCCCACCATCACAAATTAACCCCGGTTGGGGGCGGGTGTTGGGGGAGAATTTAGAGGAAATGGCAAGGGTAGCTGGGGCTGGGTTAGAGGAGCCGAGTGGGTTTCAGAGGCATGGAAAACCCACTGAGGCCGCTCTGGCACCTTGAGTAATGGGATGCAGCCGGGGACTGCGAGGCAGCCGGGGGAAAGTAGCACTGGCTTCAGTGTCCGCTGACCCAGTGCCCTTGCCTCCACTGTTCTGGCTGAACCTCTGAGGGTGATGTCCAACCCAAGGATTGCCTGGGTAGGAACTCCTCTCTCACACACACACATTCAGACAGGCATGTATAGTGACACATAGAATGATAAATCACAGAGTAATGGATGCCATACAGTGACAACCTGATACCCAGTAACTCACACCCAATGGCCTAATTAAGCAGGCTTCAACACACACACACACACACACACACACACACTAACCTAAAATTCCTTAATACAAACATAAACAAATGTGACCTAGGAAAACATACACATGAGGACCTCTACAGGCCACCTTACACACAGCATGATCAAACCACACAAAACAACAATGACCCGGGGACATCATGACACAATGTGTTAACGACACACTAAGACCTTATAATATTATGCCACATATCAAGGTCACAATGTCACATACCCGTTATCATATTGTGATGTTATGTGCCCATGGCACCCAGATACCTAAGACTGCACCTCACCCACAGAATCCCTGTCTGTCCTGGATATGCCCACCTTTCTGTTCCACAGCTCCTCATTCCAAGGCACCAAATCTTCCTACCAGTGGAACAGCGTTCCTCATCAGCTGACTCATCCACCCTGAAAGCATCCCTGCCCAGTCCTTTCTAGTATGGCTAACTCTTTGAAGGGGAAATGATAGCAAACTTGGAGGCAATAACAGAACTTAAGGTGAGTATTTTGGTGTAAGGTGGGGCTATACAGAGCCCACTGATCACCATTCGTCTCCCTTCCTCTTATTTATGCGCATGTCCTACAGCTCTAATTGCATCCTCAGGTGACCCTCCACATTCATGTGTGCCTGTCTTCCAACTGCACCCACCTCCAGACTCCAGGGCCAGAGTCCACAGGTCCGGGTGCAGACACCGAGGACCCCAACGTCCTTTGGTTGTCAGTTACTTGGGCATCCCAGCTCCCACACGGGCCCTGCCCTCCCAAGTCAGTCTCCATCTTCAGGAGGTAAGTGCTAGAAGTCATGGCCTTCTCCTCCTCCAATATGTCCTCTCTCCCTCCTCCGCAGCAGGAGCTATGGAGAGGTGGGAGGGAGGGAGTGGGTCGGGTGGGGGATCGATGGCAGCCTGGCCCCTGGCCCAGGACTCCATTAGCCTGGACTTTGGTTTCCCGAAGCCGGATTGCACCTGGGGACTTTGGTGGTAGAGTTGCCACCAGGCAGGGGAGGTGGGGATGGGGGTAGGGACTCCCGCCCTCTTCCAACCACCACCTCTTAGCACATCCTCCTTACCTGCTCCCAGGACTCAATCTCCTCCCTCTAGGCTCCTCTGAAGGTAGAAAGAGAAAGGGGCTGCCTTCAGCCTAAGGGATGCTGGGTTCCCTAGATGACCCCTCTTCCCACTAAATAGTCTAAAGGGGGTGGCAAGTTAGAGCCCAACTGATTTCATCTTTTTAAAACTGGATGAACCCTCATTCATCTAGGACCAATTCCTGTTCCCCAACCCATCCCAATAAATGCAGCAGAGGATGGAGTTTTCTGCTTTTACTGAACACTAGAGCAGGCAATGCATGGACCTTCCTTTTCTCCCTAGCTCCTTCCACATCTCCCCTGCAGTCCTCCTACCATGGTTCTTGCTTGTTTTCCCATCCCTGGTGGAATTGGGGAACAGCCATGCTATGAAGCTGCACAGCTCTTGCTGTAAAGAGGAGGCAGAGGCCAAAACACTCTGGTGGAGGCAGAATATGTCCCCTCCCTACCTCCGTTATCACTCTCCCCACTTGACTTTGGGGTGGAGTGGAAAGTTGATCTCCCACTCCCAGTGCCTGCACCCTGGAGACCATTCTGCCATTGGATCCTGAAAGGATATGGGGCTTAGGAAGCAGGGTCCCAGTCTGACCCACCCCCCACCCTCCTGCCAGAGCTGACCTGTGAATGTTCCATTCACAGTGTTCCTTCTCCTGTCCCTCAAGAGCCCATCCCCATCCTAAGTCTTGGGTATAGAACTGTTATATTATCAGGAAACTCTGGGAACAGCCACACCCACAATCTGATACCCAAAGAGGCTCAGCACATACCCTGTCCTCTCAGGCACAGTCACATCTACCATCTGACAAAGCCACATACTCTGTCACTTTGACACATTAAATCACATCCCTGTCACAATACACAGGCTTACATAGTCACACTTTTGTCCTTTCTCATCACACACATGAACACACACAATCATATCCCCTGTATCTGTCACCCACTGAGTCCACAAACACTCTGTTACCTATACCTGCAAGGATCGAGGTGTGGGAATCACACATCTTCAGAGCCATTGTGGACCCCTGACCCCAAAAGGGACTCCCCAGAAGTCTAGTGTTACGTCAGGATTCCCGGAACCTCCTTCTTCTACCCCAGATACCCCTGCTTATCTCAGACCTTCCTCCTATCTCGCAGACTTCCCTCATCTCCATACTCCAGTCCTCCTGCACTGCACCCCTTATCATTTCTCAAACACCTGTCCACTGGTCTTCTCTCTTCACCTCCCAGTCCTCCAGATTCCCTCCTTACCTCCCCTAGATGCCCCACCACAGAGTTCCCGTTTTTACCTCTCCCAGATGTCCTGTTCCCCAAGCATCCCTCCTCACCTCCCGCAGATGCCCTATCCCATCACTAACCTGCTCACTCCTCCTCCCAGTCACAAAAGTCAGAGTAGCCCCTCCCCAATGCTGCAGGCGCTGTCCCTCCAGCCAGCAGCCCAGAGCTGCCCAGGCCCCTGGGTTACCTTCCAAGGAGACAGGCTCAAAGAGGCCAAACTGCTCCAGGACCTTGACAAACAGAGCGAGGACCACAAGCACGGCGACCATCTCCAGCCCTTCCAGGTTCATGGTGGGCCTGGGGCATGGTCCCCAGGCTGAGACTCAGCAGGCCTGCCAGCCCTACTCACACCACCTCCCCCTCAGGCTCCCCATGGAGAGTAGGACTGCCGGCAGCCTCCCTCCCCTTCTTCTTCCCTGGATCTCCTCCCTCTCCCCACCTCCCTCACCCCGCCCCTGCCCCACTGGCCTCTCAGCCACAGCTTCTTCCTCTTCACAGGCCACTTCAGCCTCTAGACTGGCATCTTCTTGGGAGCCTTTGGTGTGAAGGATATGGGCCAGGCCAGGCCAGAGGAGGGATACAGTGACCTAACTCTGTCCCCAGGACAGCTTCCCCCAGACACCCTGTGGCTACTCTGTGCCAAAGGGAGGGGGTAGAAAGAGGAGCTGTCCTTAGGGAGAAGGCAGGGAAGGGCAGTGTGAGAAATTACGAGTATGTAATAGATGTATGGGTCAGAATATGTTATGGGCGTCTGGGTGTTTTCTGGTGTATATATTCCAGTGTTTGTCTGTATGGAGAATATGTGTCTGTGTGCTTACACCTGATTGTGCAACTATCTATTAGGTGTGTGTCTTGTGTATAGGGGTATGTGACCTGGGTGTCTATGGTGTGTGTGAGAGAATGTACTGGAATATTTCTGAGTGTGTATGGGTGTAAGTGTCTGTGTTTTAGTAGACTTATGGGCTGTGGGTCTGAGGACTGGTAATATGGATGTGTCCTATAATTAGGAGTACAGGTCTCTGGTGGTTGTGTAATTGTATCTGCATGGAACTGTATGAGAATATAAGAGGGAAGAAAGCAGTGACCTCTCCCGCCCAGAGGACACTACCAGCATCGATTGCGGTTGCCATGGAGACAGTGGGGGTGGGGCAAAGCGTTCTCTTCCCACTGGCCACAGACAGGAAAATTGAGGCCCAGGGAGGGAGAATTAGGTCCAATAGCCTGGGCAGGAAAAAAGTCTGCAAGGATAGAGGCCTTAGCCTTAACCTGTTTGGGAGGAGACTTATTGCACCTGCCTTTGGGACCAAGAGACTCAGTTTCTTGGGAGAGGAGGAGGGACTGTGCTCTTCCCTTCCTCCTGACTGGGGCTCCCTAAGCCCTGCCTGCTCCTAGGGAACCATTACTGAGCAGATGGAGAAGCCCAGGGTAGAAGAGAAATCTGAACCCGCCCAGGGCACCACCCCCACCCCCACTGCACCCCCTGGAACATTCCTGGAACTCCTCCCCCATCTTCCCAGCTCCTTCGGGGTCAGTGGTGGTGGTGAGTGTAGGGGTGGGGAGAGGCCTGCAGAGCCAGAAGACTAGGGCTGCTGAGTTACTGCACAGCTGAGTAACACTGAGCACTCACTGTGTGCTAGACAGAGTTTTGTGTGCTTACAGACATTATCATGCTGAGTTTTCACAATAAGCCTGTGACAGCAGTAGGATTATCCCCACATTACAGGTGGTGAAATTAAGGCATAAGAAGGTAAGATCAGTATCAGAGCCTCCATTTCAAACCAGTCTGACTGTGAGCCTGCGGCACTCTAAACCACCACAATACACTGGCTCCCTTCTTAGACAGCTTGCCCACCCAGGAGGCCCAGTTTAGGATGATGGACCCCAGAGGAAGCCCTCTTTCGGGGTCCAGCTCTGGAATGAGTGTGTGACTGAGCCCCGGTTGTGGGGTGGGAGTTGGGTGGGAGCTGGTCCCACCACTCCATGAGTCACTGATCTGTAGTTCTACAGCCCACCACTGGGGGTCAGGCCATATCTTACCCCTTTGGCTTTCCCCGCAGCCCAACATCCCAGGAAGGTGTTGAAAGGAGGGAAGGAGGGTAGCACCCCAGGCTTGATCTTCTGCTTTCCCTCCTCTCCTCCCCCAAGAA